CACAAGCTCACATGTGATATGAGGATCCTGAGTCTGGGAACTAATGATGTGGTATTGGGTTTGGACTGGTTAAAAACTATTAGTCCAGTCAAATTTGATTTCATCAACCTTCAGTTGTTCTTTGACTGGGAAGGACAGGAAGTGTCATTGCAGGGAGTGCAGGATATGGCTCAGTGCATATCGGGGAAGACTCAACAAAAGATGATTAAGAAGACCACAACTACACTGGTGGGGCACCTGTTCAGCATTTCTGTGGAGACTGCCAATGCAGGTAAGGTTCCTGAGTTCTTGGAACCTGTAGTGAATGAATTTAGTGATGTGTTTGGGAAGCCTAAGTCACTACCACCACCTAGACCCTGTGACCATACTATTCCCCTACTCCCAAATGCTCAACCTGTGAATCTTAGACCCTACCGCTATTCAATACCACAGAAGAATGAAATGGATCGCTTAGTGAAGGAAATGATGGATTCTCAGTATATACAGGATAGTAGAAGTCCTTATGCATCACCTGTTTTGTTGGTACTCAAGAAAGATGGATCATGGAGGTTCTGTGTGGATTACAAGCAGCTGAACTCTCTCACTATTAAAGACAAGTTCCCAATTCCAGTCATTGATGATCTATTGGATGAGTTAAGAGGGTCCAAATTCTTCACCAAACTGGATTTATTGTCAGGCTACCACCAGATCAGAATGCACCCTCAAGACCAACACAAGACAGCCTTTAGAACTCATCAAGGCCACTATGAATTCAGGGTAATGCTCTTTGGATCGACAAATTCCCCAGCAACCTTCCAAGCTCTCATGAATCAGATCTTTGCTCCACACTTGAGGAAGTTTATACTGGTTTTCTTTGATGACATTTTGGTGTACAGTCCTGATCAAGACAGTCACAAGGAGCACCTGGCTATCACATTGGGCATCCTCAGAGCTCATACCTTGTATGCTAAACCCTCCAAATGTTCCTTTGGTCAGACTCAAGTAGACTATCTTGGTCACATTATCAACCAGGAAGGTGTTTCTACTGATCCTGGTAAGGTAGAAGCTATGGTGTCCTGGCCAGTTCCTAAGAATATCAAGGCACTCAGGGGGTTTTTGGGTCTAACTGGATATTACAGGAAGTTTGTAAAAAATTATAGCATTTTGGCTAAGCCTTTAACTGATTTACTGAAGAGGGACAGTTTCAAGTGGTCTGCATCAGCTCAGGGGGCTTTTGAGGTACTGAAAGCAGCTATGGTGCAGGCTCCAGTACTGGCCTTGCCAGATTTCAGCCAACCTTTTGTGCTGGAAACTGATGCCAGTGATATAGGCATTGGAGCTGTGTTGTCTCAAAGAGGTAAACCACTGGCATATCACAGCCAAGCTCTGGGACCAAGGAAGCAGGGTCTCTCCACCTATGAAAGTTTAAAGCATATGCTAGGTCAGAAGATTCATACCCAGATATAGAAAAAGGGGTTAGGCTGCTGGGTTTGGACTTTGAGATCTAGTATAGACAAGGTAGACTCAATAAAGTGGCCGATGCCCTGTCCAGGTATCCCAACTTTACTGATCAAGGGTCTTGTCAGGCCATTTCAACCACTTTACCTGCCTGGCTTGCTGAGATTGAAAGCACTTATGAGGGGGATTCTGTGGTGCAGGCACTTGTGATGGAGGCATCAGTCCCTATGGTTGGTCCAAAACTCTACTCAGTGAAGCAAGGTCTTTTGTACCATAAGGCTGCTTTATATGTGGGCACAGGGGGTGATATGAGGAAGCAGCTCATGCAGTTATTTCATGACTCACCTGTGGGAGGACATTCTGGATTACAAGCCAACTATCAGAGGTTGAAGAGGTACTTTTGGTGGCCTGGATTGAAGAAAGATTTGAAGGAGTATGTTCAAGCTTGTGATATATGTCAGAGGTGTAAGACTGAGAATGTTCCCTACCCTGGTTTGCTGCAACCCCTTTCTATTCCTAATCAGGCTTGGAAACACATTTCCATGGACTTTATTGAGGGACTGCCTAAGTCACAAGGTAAGGAGGTGGTGTTTGTGGTGGTTGACAGGTTCTCCAAATACAGCCACTTCTTCTGTTTGGCCAAGCCCTATACTGCTGTCTCAGTGGCCCAAGTTTTCTTTGATGGCATCTTCAAATTACATGGGTTACCACAGTCCATTGTGTCTGATAGGGATTCCCTGTTTACCAGCACCTTCTGGTCAACCTTGTTCCAGCTTCAAGGGGTCAAGTTGCATTACTCTACTGCCTATCACCCTTAGTCAGATGGCCAAACTGAGAGGGTGAATCGTTGTTTGGAGGAATATTTGCGTGGTATGGTGCATCATAACCCTCAGCAGTGGGCTGGATGGTTGACTTTGGCTGAGTGGTGGTACAACACAGACTACCATTCCAATCTGCAGGGTACCCCCTTTGAAGCCTTATATGGCTATGCTCCTTCCCAATTTTCTCTCACCAATCCCCTCTCTACTGCTGTAGCAGCTGTGTCAGATAGACTTCAGCAACAACATAAGCTCATTGGAGTGTTGCGAGCAAACTTGGCCAAGGCTCAGAATCGCCAGAAGTAGATGGCAAATGCTCATAGAACTGAGCGTTCATTTCAAGTGGGGGAGCGAGTGTATCTGAAGCTCAGGCCTTACATGCAGTCTTCTGTGGTTACCAGGTTGAATCAGAAGCTATCTCCGAAGTTTTATGGTCCCTTTGAAATTGAAAGAAAGGTTGGAAGTGTGGCATATCGATTGAAACTGCCACAAGGGTCTGTTATACATCCAGTGTTTCATGTGTCTCTCTTGAAGCGTGCTCGTGGCCACCAGTATCACACGCAGCATGCTCTTCCCGAGATAGATGATAATGGAGGATTGAAGGTGGAGCCAACTTTGATTCTCGCCAGAAGGGTTGTAGTTAGAAGAAATGCAGCAGCTACACAGATACTTGTGCAATGGACACATCAAGTTGAGGAGGATGCTACTTGGGAGTTTTTGGATGAGATCAAACAAAAATTTCCAGAATTCCAGACTTGAGGCCAAATCAGCTCTGAAGGAGGAGGGAGTTGTAACACGTGGGACTTGAATGTAAAGAATAAAAGATGTTAGTAGAGTTGACAGAAGTATAGGGACTAAATGGAATATTTGGCAAGTGTATATAACTCTATCCTGTAACAACCTAACGGTCATCTGAGATCAATAAAAACTTTTCCCTCTCTCACTTCTATCTCTCTCTCTCTCTTCTCTTCTTCTACTTTCCCTTTCTTCTACCGAATTCTACTGCCGAGTGCTTCTCTGGTCCAGAGCGTGACACGTGCATTTACCAACCATAGTCTATTCTGTTATCTTTCTTTTCAGATGGCGGAACAGAAGAAGGAAGCTGGCGGCAAAGAGAAGAAGTCCTTTCTCTGTAAGTTTGTCGCCACTGTTTATCGGAGGAAATAGGTTTTAGTGGCGCTTTAATGTTGGTTCCATGCTACTGGAGCGCCACCATCAGAATTCACATAACGCAAAACAATAGCCATCTGCTCTTTCATTGATATATCACGAGTCTCATCAACCAATATGCAGAAAAAATTATACCCAATCTCTGCAATGATTTTCTTAGTCGTTTCACAAGCCATGGCATGAATAAGATCTCTTTGAATCTTTGGAGAGGTGAGTTGGAGATTCTTTGGAGCATTCCTCCCAACCACTCTTTGCACATCTTCTCTACCAAGAGCATGGAAATCTAATAGCTGAAGAAAGTTACCTCTGTTACTTGAAGTTGCAGATTCATCATGCCCTCGAAATGATAATCCATTCACTACTAGCCACCTTATGCAATCAAGTGAAGCAACCAAACGAATTCGATAATCTCTTTTGGCTTGATCTGATTGTCTAAATAATGCAGCTTCAATTCCTCTTGCTTGCTTCAATAAAAGATCTGAACTGTTTTTAGCTCTATTGTGGTAGCTGTTATGCTCCCCAACATGATCATCAAAAGCTTTCAATTTATTCCATATTCTAAATCCTTCACCAATAAAGCCATCATTACTCCCACCTCGCTTACTGAACACATAGCAATATAGACAATAAGCAGCATCTTTTGAGACACTATAATCAAGCCAATTATACTTCTTGAACCAAGAAGCCTGGAATTTACGCTGCCTTCCACTGAAGTTTCTGGCAGGAAAAGCATGACTCTTTGGTTGAATAGGACCTTTTTGAAGAAAAAATCTTCTAACTTGGTCACGGACATTGGGATGAAAGCTAGATATCTTAGTTCTTAATGCCGGATCTAGCACCAAAGAGTTTTCATCAAACCCTCCATCTGATTCTGCTGAGAAAGACTCACTTTCTTCTGGAGTTCGATTGACTGAACCTGAAAGATTTGGTTCTTGTATTTGAGGAGCTCCCACTGTCGACGAAGGAGGAAAGGTTTGAGCTTGTCTACTCCCACTAGCTTCAACACCTTCAGTTTGAACATTAGGAGTAGATTGGACTTGTCTTGAGTAGTATCTTTCCATTGGTACCTGATCTAGCATAGAATGTACATAAAATTAGAATTGAAATTCCACTGTAAAAACCGCTACTTTCCCCACCCAAAAGTTATGCTTCCCAAATCAGATTGGAATTCCCCACCCAAAGTTATGCTTCCCCATTGTAAAACTGCTGCTTAACAATTGGAATTAACAATTGAAAATGCGATCTTAATCTTTGTATACTTGTATTGCTACTGTCTTTGTCAAACCATGAATCATCAATGTTGTATACTTATATGTCGAAAAGCAGGGGACAGTTATGTTCTCTTCAATTCCTAATGTTTTACTTTGGTCAGGCAAACTTGTAAAAGCTTCTGAGCGAGATTGTAAAGCTTGTCTACTCTGCCACTAGTTCTTAATTTCAAGGCTTGCTCACATCGCTCAGCAAAAACATGTCTACTCTCACTCTCCCACTAGTTCTTAATTCCATGATCATCCATGAATTTTGGCAGCAAGTTCAAGCTTACCGAAGGAGAAGTTGCAGCGGCCAACGGCTGAAATGGAGGAGAACTCTCAACGGACAGAGGAGACCGACGAACAAGGACGAGGTCGACGCAGGGCGAGGCCGGCGGATGACGGCGAGGCCAGCGAAGGAGGGCGAGGCCGGCGGATGACGGCGAGGCCTAGCGGAGGAGGGCGAGGCGGCGGAGGAGGGCGAGGTGGCTTAGCGGCGCGACATTGAAGTGGTAGCAGCCGCAGAGTTGATTTTGCGAAGAAGAATGGGAGGAGTCGTGTTTAGTTTTAGGGTTTTGTTGTCAAATTATGGATAAAATTAACATGTTTATAACTATCCGTATCTTCAAATTATACCAAGAAATGAGATGTAGTGTGATGGAAAACATGTTAGCTAATAACTAGGGTGTCCCAGGTTCAAATCCCATAAGCCACTATATATTTTTTTTTCCTACGCTCAAACTACTACCGGGGGTTCGATAAATTTTCTCCGAGATTTTAGGGGTGTCCGGGGACACCCCCAATCATCCCTGGGTCCGCCCTGGCCTTAATGGTGCCTTTTCTGTGAATCCTCTAGAACGGTCTTGGAAGATACAAAACATGAAGTTACGATGAGGAAATATATTGAATCTCCATATTTGAGTCCGATGATTACTGATTAGGATAGCAACACTATGAATGAAAAACTTCTGCAATCTGCTACGTGGTCTATTTTCTCGTTATTGAGATCTCCGGAGTTCAGTTCAGTCGTAATTTGGCAGCAAATGTTTACTGTAGTATCTATATTCGACAATTATGCTTTTATAATTACACAGTTGGAAGTATATCTTCTAATGTTCGACTATTTGCTGAACTAGATGATGAAATTGGAAATTATTTCCTTGGCTCATGGACGAAGATGGCAGTGGATGACACTATGGATTTCAACATTGAAACAGTTCCAAAAGGGGATATAAAACGAAGGCATTCAACTTTGGGAACTTGTAATTCAGGGCAAGTATGAGAGCTTTTTACTGTCTTTCTAACTAAAGCCTGGAAATCGATTTAAAACATATTCATGGCAGTCTCTTTCTGATGCAGTTTCGGGGTTTTATTGCAAATCGTCTTATGATTGATGGATACTTCTAAGTTGGATTAGCTAGGGATCAGATATTGATTGTATCTATATCTTTCTTAGAAAGATACTCTCTTGCTTGATTCGACCTGAATTTTGGCCATTATATATGCGAGTTGCTCAACTGTAAAAAAAATGAGTAAAGCGAAAATATGCTTGTTAACTTTTGTTCCACTTAAAACTGGTGAATGCTGGAGCTCATTATTGTTGTGGGTATGTATGAATACCATTGTTATTTTCCCAGGGACATCGATTTTAATATGGATGGAGATTTTGCCAAGTTACAATCCTTCAAGATGGACATGCCAGACCTTGATTTCTCAAGCCCCGAACATGTTTTTAAATCGAAGCAAAAAGTGGATAGAGGATCCTCTAGTGGACAGCAGAAAGGAAAATTAGACACCTTTGACATCTCTTTTGATTTTGACGGGTATGTTTACAATTTCTCTTTAAGATTTATATGGCTACCTTATTCTCTAGGAATGTGTTGTGTTGATGGAGGGTATAAATTCTCCAATTTCTTACCTAACTCTCATTTCTTTATTACAAGTCGGGTTCGACAGATTCAACCTCGATGAAGACATAATCAAGGTAGATGGTAACGCTCCCGCAACAAAGCACACTGATAAAATTGGGGCTGGCTGTGAACGTCATGATGGATCTGAAAGCAGTCAGACAGAGGACTCGGCAGCATCAGAGAAAATTATCAATCATGCGGTGAAGACTGCTGTAGCTCCTGAAGGAATTGAAATTCCTCGAGATGATAGTACAGTAGGAACTTTCGTTGAGCATGCAGCAGAAAGCTCATCAGAAGAAACAGTTGGTGTTAGAACTGAAGCAACAAATCAACAGGGCTCATCCTCAGATGTTTATACTCCCATCCCATGGATCAATGTAACCCATCCCAAGATGAAGGCATGCCCAATGACCAATATGCTAAGTATGGTTTGCAGTCCACGGCATCACAATCCCTTGGTGGGAGCGATTCTATCCCAGTCAGATGTACCGTCGGAGGCTGATTACTTGGGTTCGAGAGTGACTGTAAAGTCAGATGCAGAGCACACTCTTAATGTTTTAAAATCAATCAATGAGAACCAAAAACAACTCAGCAAATTAACTCCTTTGAATACTAATGGCCAGGAGGTCAAGAAATTAAGATTTCAAAACAGAGATTATTCCCGAGAGCACTGCAGAGGGTATTAAGAGACTGAGCCAGTGGCAACTGTTAGAGATTACTAGAATCAATGCCCACGGCTACGCCGCGGGAGATATAGTTGTATTTGGTATCGGTAAAAACAGTATACATATAACGAAAATGTTAGAAATGATAAAGAGAAAGTAAGTATTATAAGTTCTGCTAAAAAAACTAAGAAACTTACAATCTTCTGCCTACTTTCCAACTCAGGTCTGCAAATTCTACCATGGATTTCTTCTCCTTCACTTCTTTCTTTGGATTGTTCTTCTGGTCTGAAATTTATTTCTGAAGTATCCTTTTGGACTCTTTGAATGCAAAATCAGCATGTTTCTTGCAAAAAATAAGAGAACGTAAAGCAAGCGCCTCAATAAAAGAAGAGTCTACTAAGCATCTCCGAGTATGAATGAACTCAAATGTAACATGAAGTTTGGCATGGAAAACCTGCCTAGAAACCCATTCAAACAAAATACCTTCAAACTGCAGATGCCAGGAATAGTTATACAATAGGCAAAATTCAATCCAGAATTGACAGCATAAGAATTGAAACCCCTTCCTCTAGAATGATGAAGAAAGCAAAGTTGCAACATCTATTTTGGTAATGGCACTTTCTGATTCTGCAGCAACTTGAAGTGGCCTGAAGCTTGACTTCAGCTAATATCAATTCAGACCAACATCGTGCATAACAATGCAAAGGAAAATTGCGACTAATTTATGGAAGCACACCGGAGAATAAAATAAGCAAATGAACAAAGTATGAGCAGGAAGAAGATAATTTTGTGGATCTGGAGTAACACATAAGACCACCAGCAAGTGTTGAAGGTACTGCGACTCGTGTGTGTTGTTGCAGCGTACTGTTGTTGCTTCTAGAACCAAATGCATGCACTGGAGTTATAAAGCAAGAAGCACAAAGCACAACCCATAAAAAAGCCGTGAGCAACATCAGGAAACCAAAACGGGGAGCACAATGATGAGGATGAAAATTAAGAGGAACTGGAGTGACCTCGTTGAATATAAGACCAAGTCTCTGAAACTAACTCCTTAACCATGTTCCTCTTCCATCATAGTGAGTAAAGCATCTTCCCACCACTTAACATCATAGCAAGAAATGAGGATAAAGAACTGACAGAAACTTACAGTAGAGGGCAAAGCACTGAAATGAGCAAATGGGAAATCAACAATGGATGGACTCTGTACCATTATTAAAGGACTTGTTGTAGGCAGAAATCACAGATGTATAAGCCACCTTTGTCCATCACAATTTTGAATCCATCATTTTCCCAAAAAACTCTATAGCTTGGTTGAATTTTGTCATCTTGCAACACCCACTTATCAAGACATTGTAAGTAACAGAATCAGACAATACTTTTCTTTTCCCCAAGGATAAAAACAATGCAAACGGCCTTGTCATGTTCCCCAACATTCATATACGTGGGACAGTCAAGACGAAACTCAATAGTTAAACCTGGATTACAAAGAGGGAAAAGAATGCAGGCTTGAAACTTAAGCATCAATATGACCATCGAGATTTCAGAAACTGATTCCGCAGTTATAAATGGGTTTCCTATGCATTCCCAAGGTTAACATCAGCGAAAGGTACGAAAACCCCAAAAGTAAATTGGACCAAACCAAAATGGGAACCGTAAAATATGAAATACCTTCTAGCGTCGATCCTATATCCTTCTATATATCCCTCTATGTGATTAGAGAAGTTGCTCCGAACATAGCTTCAGTGTTAATGAAAAGGTTAGGAAGGATGATTGACAACAGTTGATAGCGAGATACATGTGGTCATAAAAAGTTTACCTGTTGTGAGTAATTCCAGGTCCAAGTTCAAGCATTATACACCACTATGAGAACTGTCAACCGAGAATAAGTACTTATTTCAGCCATGAACACAGAACATGGTACCTGCAGTAAGGAAAAAAGACATCATGAAGACAAACTTCACAACAAAGGTGATGATTAAATAGAAATCCAACATAAATATACAACTCTAGTGACACATATGGAATGGAAAAAGTGAAACATAAAAGGTCAAAACAATTCTTGTATGCAGTATGTATCAAATGGCCATTCCTTCCAAACTTGAAAATAAAAAGTGCAAATCCAGCATAAACTACCCCCTGAAGTAGCCTGACAACAAAGAAGCCAACTAATAAAATTCCATCAGCTAAAAACACCATATATATGCAACCCTACTTATTAACAATCCAAACTTCACAGCTGATAGATCTTAAAAAAAATAAGAACTACAACATACGATCAACAGTAGCAAGCCTGTGCAAGCTGGAACTGGTCAAAGGCTGGGTAAACTCAGAATTTCTTAGGTATAGAAATCTGGAATTGGTAAAGTAACTATGGAGAAAAGAATAAAAGGATACGAAATGCTTACCCATAAATCAGAATCAGAAGGAGGGGATTCACATTAATCTTTGAGACCGGTCATATGCCTCTTTGAGACCCAAATGAACAGAGGTTCTAGAAGCAAAATCGATGCTCTCCACCTTTCCCTACCACTGCCGCCTTTCTCCAAAACCCTCCTCGGACGCAGGCTCTTCCATTGCCAGCCTATCATGGTGGTTGCGGAGTGAAGATCATTCTGATCCCTCGTTTTCCAGCTATGTGGACAATGGAGCCCCCTCTTCGCCAATAAATATGGATTAAACCATGAGAGAGATTTCTTCTTCACTCTTCTTCTTCGTCGACTGAGCGAGAGAGAGGTAGAAAGATTTTTTTCTTACCTTTTCTTGTTGATTGTGATGAAGAAGACACTTTTTCTCGAAAGCACAGTGGAGTAGTTGCTGCAACATGGAGGTGGCGTGTGACCAGTTGTGCAGAGGAGGCATGGGCGATGGCGTGCGCAGTGGAAGAACGTCTCCGTGGGTCAAGGTGGGCAGGAACGTCATGTCGGTGATGAAGAAGACACTTTTTCTCGAAAGCACAGTGGAGTAGTTGCTGCAACATGGTGGTGGCGTGTGAGCAGTTGTGCAGAGGAGGCATGGGCGATGGCGTGCGCAGTGGAAGAACGTCTCCTTGGGTCAAGGTGGGCAGGAACGTCATGTCGGTGAGGAGCTGTGTACAGGAAGCTCCTCCAACCATTTTGAGGGGAAGTATTAGACCGCTTGGCACTAAACGCCAAAGAATGAAACAGTAGTAGCAAAGTTAGACCAATAAAGCGTACCCACCTTTCATGTATAAAAGAATGAGGACAACCAGAAGTCAAGCTCTACAGACTTGCCAACTGAAAAGTAAAAGTTCTTACAAATTTTAGTATTTTCCGCATTATTATATGATTGCTCATAAATTTCCAAAACAACTCTATGAAGCATCAGAGAGGACACTGAATGTGTGAGATGTGGATGGCTCTCTCAGCTGATTGTTGATGCTTTTCATAAATCTTTACTGTTTCTTTTTTTGTTGCTTAATGCAGTGAACCAGAAACGGATAAGAACTGAATTACAAAGAAACAAGGCATGAGACTTATCCAGTCCAATTTCTGTAGAAAATCTGGTGATGTTAGGCCTCCTCTTGCTTCACCTAGTCTCCATTTCTCCTTGTTTGGGAGTTCTGAATTGGCTAGCAAGCAGTTGAACCATCTCGGAAGCGTGAAACCGTAAGTAGTGCTTTACAGTTTACTACTTTGTTCAGCTTACTTTTTATTGTTGTTTTGTTTTCTAATAGAGAGAACTTCAATTCTTTTCAAACTAGACAAAACTGGGGTTGTCAACTAAGTTCACTTTCTTCCAATTTGAGGAAAGGTGCACCAACTGCTTCACTGAAACTGTAAGTAGTGCTTTTTACTGTCACTGCTTTTAACAGCTTCCTTTTGGTTTTGTCTTTTCAACTCATTTAGAGACATTTTGTTCTAGCGATGTTCAAACTGGCCGAAACTCGGGTAGTCAACTGAAGCCACGTTTTTCTGAGATGAGAAAAGGTGCACCACCTCCTTTACTAGTTGGTATGAAGAATGTTCAAAGTACAGCTACCAACAGGTTAGTAATGCTGAAATTTAAAGTAGTTTCGTACTCTGTTCAAGCTCTTTCTTTTTTTGTGAATGAAACAGTTTTTGCAAGGATCATGGAGTACAAGAGATTAGCGTGCTAAATGATTATCCAATACTTGCTGATAAAGTGGTAGATAAAGGGGAACCTGTCATTCTTAGAAGTGTAAGCAACATGAAGGATCCTGATAATACTAGGTGAGGCTATTGACTTGTATATTCTAGGACTAAATCCTGTTGTGATTTGGAATTTTGCTGCTTTGGAACTCAGATGATTTCTGCTTTGCTGTAGAAAGGGCAGCTCTGTTGATAAGATAACCAAGTTGAACATCTCGAGAAGTATGAAGTCCTCCTTACCGGCTACGAGATCAATTCCGAGTTCAAAGGATCATACCTGTTACCACACTTAACTCTGAGAAGCAGACCCTGCCTAATCTGTCCAGCTTCAAAATTTCAAGGCATGATACTCTTGCCCGATTTCTCTTATGCACATTTTGGTTGATACGTATTTTTATGGGTGCCCGTCATTCTATCCGGGTAGGATCCGGTGCTTAAGCCTATACGTTTAAGCATTTTGTTTAAGTCATTTTATTGGTTGATAGTGGATTAGGTAGTTAATAAGGGGGTAAGTAGTTAATAGGTAGTTGAAGATAAATAAGGATATTATGCAAATATAATTAATATTAATTATTCTCTTTCTCTCTCCTCCCATAACTTTCTCCATAATCCTCTCTCTCCAATGCAATTAAAAAAAAATTCGAAATTAATTTAATTAGATTTTAATATTTAATATTTAATAAAATTCAAACTTAATAATTTTTTCTCTTAGAAATTAAAAATTAAAAATATTCTCTCTCATTTCGTGACAACTTGCAATGTAGTATTAACGTTTTGCAATGACATTATCAACGTTTATGAAATAAATCATTTTTATTATACCTTATCATTATTAACGATTTCAATATAAGTATCAACTCTTTACAATTATATTATTAACAATTTTGAATCAATCGTTACCGTTGTAAATTTCCATCATCAATGTTTATGAATGAATCATTGATTACAACATCTTTACTAATGATTCACAATGGCATTATCAACGTTTATGAAATAAATCATTATTATTATACCTTATCATTATTAACGATATAAGTATCAACTCTTTACAATAATATTATTAACAATTTTGAATCAATCGTTACCGTTGTAAATTTTCATCACCAACGTTTATGAATGAATCATTGATTACAACATCTTTACTAATGATTCACAATATCATTGATTCACAACATTATCATTATTGATACTATTAGTAATGGGCTCTCAAAGACGCCTCACTCGTTTCGACAAACAAACAACAACTGATATCATGATACATCAAACGTCGACAGTGTTCACTATTAACAGTACATGACAAAATTGCAAATATTTTAGGTTAACTGTTGAACGTTTTGAAACTATTAGTAATGATATACTTTCACGTTGTTAACGTTTTTAACGTAAACGTGACGTTCTCATCCCAAAAATTTCACTGAAATTGAAAATTATAAATGGTTTAGGTCGATTTTTAATGATTTTAATACTATTAGTTATGATATACTTTAACAACATTTTGGTGGGAGTTGCTTAACGTTTTTAACGTGAAAGTGAAATTGTAAGTTGTAACAACTACATGATATCACGATACATTAACAAGCAACATATGATATCATGATATATTAAACATAGATAATGTAACTATATTTTATTAATAATTCACTAAAAATTTTATAATGTTCGGCTATAATGATTATAACCTTAAATATTTTATTACGTTAATAACAATTTACATTACATCAACAATGATAACATTACATTAGATTGTTAACAACGAGCCTAAACCCATTAACAAACAACAAAAAATGATTTCGGAGACGATGATAATGTTTTTGTATATCGTTGAAAATTAATTGCAAAAAAGTTGATAACAGTACCTTGGATTGATTATAATGAACCAATAAAAGTTGATGGTGTAATTGTTTGACATTTTTTCATAAACGTTGATAACTACAATAAAAACAAATAGTACACTTTATCAAGAAGTTTATAAACCCGATGTCCAAATTGGAAAACATAAGCTCCTAGGTTGATAGAGATGAAACAAACCGTTAATAATGTAACAAAAATTTATTGATAACGAAAACATCAAAAACCAAAACATTATGTTTTTATTGAATACACAAATATTTATTTCAACTAAATATAGTCGTTATCAATGATTTAGTGTGTTCTTATTAAAGGTTACTAAAGTTCAAAACTAATAATGTCATAAAGTGTTTTATTAACAAGTCATGTAAAATTTGATAATAACGATTATTAAACATTTGATAATGAAAAATATATGTGCACACATGACATGACGTTACTAATTAATGAAAAATTGACAATGTTAAATATAATCTCCAAACACGTCAAATAAATAATTAATAAAAACATTTTGGGAGCTCATAAACGTTGATAACAATTGACCCCAAATTCTTAATAATATAATAGTAAAGAATTGATACGTATGTTGAAATTGTTAATAATTATAAGGTATAGTAATAATGATTTATTTCATAAGCGTTGATAATGTCATTGCAAAATGTTGTCACGAAGTGAGAAAGCAGATTTTTAATTTTCAATTTCCATTTTTAAATGACAAAAAATTATTAATTTTGAATTTTATTAAATAATAAAATATAATTAAATTAATTTCATATTTTCTCATAATTGTAGTAGAGAGAGGATTATGGAGAAAGTTATGTGAAGAGAGAGAAAGAGAATAATCAATTATTAATATCAATTATATTTGCATAATAACCTTATTTATCCTCAACTACCTATTAACTACTAACCACTTATTAATTACCTAATCCACTATCAACCAATAGAATGACTTAAGCAATATGCTTAAGCATTTGTGCTTAAGCACAGGAACCCAGGCCCATTCTATCCAGGAATATTATTATATTTATTTTTATCTTTAAAAGAACAAACTACAAGTTTACTGTTTGGTAGAGTCACATCACTAAAAGTACTTATTTTGTAATTGATCAAAGTTTAAGGACCAAAAACATAATTATGTTCTCATCTCTCTCCTGTATTTGTTCTCATCCACTTGTTTTTCATCTCTCTCCCATAACCCCTCCCTCCCACCAACCAATCAATGTTCATCTCTCCTTTTCTCTCATCAGAAGAAGAAGAAGGGAGAAGAAGAAGAGGAACCTGGAGAAGAAGAGGATGAAGAGAAGAGGAAGAATGCAAAGCCCGGCCACCTCAATCGTGCTCTCCCTCTCTCTACGATCCAGCTTCTACGTTGTTTCTTTCTCTCTCTGCGAGCCCAAAACTCTGACATCGGCGATGAATCGGCAAGTTTGTCGAGGAAGGAGAGACGGCTGGATAGAGTGAGTTTTCCTGACGATGGCGATCTTTTTCTGAGAGAGGTTTCAACAGGGGAAAGAAGGAGGAGTTGGTTGTGGGAGGTGAGTCGACGGACTCTAAGCGAGGCTGGAGGAGACAACAGCGAGGGGAGAGGGTGTGGTCTTCGGCGGCCTGCGGGTGGTGGGGATAGTTCTAGGTTTTCCTTGCGTTGAAGGAGGTTAGGTTGGAATAAACTTTTGGTGGTTCTGGCAGTGACGGAAGTGATGCTGAAACAGGAGGCGATGGAGCAAGAAGTAAAATTACTTGAGAATCTCAATCAGGTATGGGTGTGAAGCCGGTTTCTGATTTCTGTTTTGCTTTTCATTCTTAGTTTTTAGGGTTTATTTGTTGCTTTCTAGCTAATACTTTATGCTCTCTAGCTTATGATGATCACGATGGTGAATCAATTATTTTTTTTCTTATAATGGCTTTGTATTTGTTAGTTCTGGATTAGGATTCTGAGTTCAATGGAACCTGTTTATCATCATTGACGCTGCTGACGTTAGATGTCGTTCAGGAATGCAAACTAAAACCCAACCGTCAAACAACTCCATAGAGGATATGTTGCTGAAATATTTGTTGTTATCATCTATTTTAAAAAACATAATGGTTCTTTGTTTTGGGTACAAATCTCTACTTTTGTTTGATTTGGTTGGCCACAACTCTAATTTTCATTTCTTTTTTTGTCCAGATTGATTCAGAGAATTCATGTTGCGAATGAAGGAAAGGGAGAAGAAGCTCCTCTCTTTCTTTCTCCGAGTTTGTTTCGCTTAGAACTCCCCTTTTTCTGTCTATGTTCTGCACCCGGTAGAGATGGAGTCACTAATGTAGTTAAAGGGATGGAGAGAAACAAAAAAGGTGTTGATGAAATGGAACTTGATCTCAAAGATCTCTAGGTTGTTTCCTGCTGTTTGTTTATTTGCCATCTTTGTCTTTGAGTGGTCAAAGTTTTGTTCTTTAGAGATTCTCATATTGATGACATTTGTGCTCCCCAGGAACAAGCTCCTCTTGGTTGGTGGTGTTAAAAGCTTTATATAATGAGAGGATAAAAGTGCTGGAGCAGTTTTCTCATCTACAGGCTGGTTGTTCCTTGCATTTTAGTTCCGAGTAATATATTATGTTATCGAATTCGTTGACTTAGAATATTTTCTTGACGGGGCTGTTTTTCTCATGGACTCATTGAAGAAGGTAAAGAAATTGAACCAGGGAGATGGGTTGTGGATTCCTGGACTTGGTCAGTTGGAATTGCCATCAAAGAATTAGTACAGTATAGGAATTGCTCAAGTGAAGGAAGCCTTCTCCTCGGTGAGTCCTTTAATAGTGACAACATTGTGGATTTAGTTTTTGGTTATTGTGTCCATTTAACTCTATGACTGATGAACCAGCCTGTAATCCACCTTTGGAGATACATAGTGACCACGGAGAGCACTTGAGTGGTTCTTGCTACTGGTTTCAGCTGCCATTTTAGTTTAGGTGTATATGTTCTTAGATAAGTCATCCCTAAGTATCTTCTAAAAGGGATAGAAACAATAGAAGCTATCTCACTTTGTTTTGGTTTGGAAGCGGACTCTGCAGACAGTTACTTTCTATAAATTGCATTGTATGATCTCATTCTTTTTCTTACTCATGACTTCAGTCTCATTGCAGTTGCCTCCCAGAAACATGATCTGAAGGAGATTGGCAAAGGTAAGTGAGAATTAGGCTCAGAGACTGCAGTATCATCAAGTGGAGAACAAAATGATAGGAACATCGAGGAGTTATTAAGAGTAGGTGCATCATTTTTCCATTTGGTTTGCTTCGTCTATTTCCAGAATTCTAGATCTCATTAATGGTAAGATTCTTTGTGAACCAGCTTGAGTTGTGTTCAACTAATTATTTGTTCTTTTTGCAATTCTTTTCATTAAAGGCAGACCATGATGTTGTATGTTGTGTTTCAGTATGGTCTCTGTAATCTTTGTTTCCATCTCACAGTACACACATGAATGTTAGGTTACGTTGAATGTTAAGTTCAGTCGGGTTTACGTCGTTTATAAATTCATTTATTTTTTACTTCATATTAGCTGGTTTCTCCTGTCTACATAGGATCTCTCTATGTGTGGTTGGTTTAATCCTTACTTGAATCCTACTGCCACATGAGAGCTGAGTTTGGGGTTTGATGGGAAGGAAGATTAGAAGAGTACACCAAGATCCTTAACTCTCTTAAAATCAGTGGGAGAGGTTAAGTCAGCAACTAAATTGCTTTAAAATTTTGGTTTGCTTTGTTTTGGTTTCAGCTGGTGATATAAGAATGCTGAACTGAATGGCCCGAGTTACATTTGAGTGCCACTTAATAGATTTGTTGTTTATTTGGCCTCACTGGATACTCTTTTATGTTTCTAGCAATCAGTTTGGTTACTATGCAAGTTTACTTGCAATGCTGATGGTTATAGTTTCCCTGTTGAGCAAACGAGTTATATTGGGGGATTTGAAGTTGCATATCAAAGCCTGCTGCATTGAAAAATCCATCTATTCTACTTTCTGTCTATAGATTTCCATATGCAATTGCTTGCTTCTACCGCTATCTAAAGTCCTTTCAGTCGTTCTTCATTTCAGCCAACCTGCCTCTATATGATGTTCTTTTACTGCTTTACTAATGGAATTGCCTTCACAAGGATACTTCTACTTTTTGGGACTATATTGACTACTCATGTCAACCTGTTAATTTCTTCAATTCTTATGATCCTTCTCTGTGAATTAATTGGTTCCTACAAGGCTACAACTAGATATTTCCTATAATTATATTTACGCTTTTTAACTCTTTGTGGGATATCTAGATTTTAATTAAAAGGCTTTGGATAATGCATTTCAGTAGCCATGCGTGTATCTTTAAATTTGATTATGCCTTTTTTTTATACTTTGGTGATTATGCTTGGTGTTAGTGATCTCCTCTCTCTATTTCTTCTGTTTTTTATTTAGGTTTCTTCTCTTTGCGTAGAGGGTTTAGAGGTTTGTCTAGGAATTAAAAAAAAAACATTCTGTTTGTGTAGCAGTGGATGCTAGAAGAGAAAGATAACCCTGTTTCAAATCTTAATCATAGCCTAAAGGAGTTTAGAGGTTTGCCATTGATTTTGGGCCGACTTCTTTGAGTTTTTTATGGAAGATTCGGAGTTCAAATTGCATGTGAGTTTATATGTTTGATGTCATGTGTGATTTGGGTTCCGTGTTTTTTCTGCGTTCAAGCTCTCAAGTGGAATTTAAGTGGTTTATACATGTTGTAGATTTTATAGCAGCTATTTATTTGTAGATACAGTTTTGTCAGTCAACAAAAGTGTGTTCAAACAGGCCAAAACCTTAAAGTACGTGTCTATACTAAATAGAAATTAACATCCTTGCTAACTAAATATCTCTCCCTTATGATGTTAAGTTTCTTCTCTTTTTGTTTTCAATCTTTGATTCCTTCTATGGTTTTAGTTTATACTCCCTTAAATTTTTCCACACCTCTGCCTGCAGCTGAAATAGAGGGTGAGATGTACAGGAATCTTGGTTGTGAGGGGTGAGTGAGGCTATGCAGGATGCAAACCATTGGTACAGGGGACGAGGATGCCAACAAAGAGTGATCAAGAAGCTGAATGAAGTTTTAAGGGAGGAAGCAAGGAACCATTTGAGAAGGGCGCGATGACTTACAAAGTATTTCTTTATGGTTGCGAGGTGAATTCTCCATAACTCTTTTTAGTTTTCCAGACCGGGTCTTTCTGTGTTTGGTTCTAGATGGAAAAGTGTTAAAGTCTTAATGCAACAACTTTGAAGTTCTATGTTTGCTGGTGGTCTAGGTGAATCAGATTTCTCTCTTGGAACTGACTTTTGTTGAGCTTATAAATTTTGTGCTTCCTCTTACTTATAAAACCTAGGATGTTGATTAGGACAGAAGAGTCTGTTTGTAACATACTAACAATTTCATATGAATCCTTTTTCTTCTCAAATATGTGCACCTCCAGGAAAAGCTCCTCCAAGTTGCCATCCCAGAATCCAAATGCTGGGTGCGAGCTTACAGATCAGACTCCTTTCAGAATGAGATGACACATATAAAAAGAAGGAGGTATAAAGAGATTTATGTAAAGTGAAATGGAAAAGAAGGTGAGGATGAGTTATTTTATGTATATAAGCCTCAATTCGCATATGTAAAAGGAGTAGTTGCATCGATCATAACAAAACTATTTAGTTATTTTAGAGTTTCATAACTTGAGCCTGATTTCTCTTTTCTTTAGCCTTGAAGTTCGCTCAAGATTTAACAATATAACTTGGTTATAGGTGTTTTTGTTTTATTAGAATAATGAGAGCAGAAAAGTGAGTGAGACTAAAGTTTACTTATATTTAGTGTTGTCTTTTTGCAGTGATTGAAGTTTACAACACTGCAAAACTGACGGAAGTAAGACTTTATAGCATTGATTCACAGTACTTTGTTAAATGATGTTTTGGACTTTTTTCTCGATGGTAAGTAAGGGTTTCAGCTCCAATTGTTCTCGGAGTGGGTATATAATCATTGACATTCATTTACACGTACATGTCAGAGTGAGTATATAATACTCAATCACATGCTAATGAAATGTGCTGCGGTAGCTGTTATTTTTGCTAATTTATCTTTATTATTACCAGGGTTCCAGTTTTGAGATATCCTGAATGAAAAATTACATCTCCTAAGACATGGTCAGAGGTATGGTATCACTTTATTGGCCTATCAACTTGACCATTTGAGAACTAGATTTTGATTCACATGTTAGCGACCATCAACTTCGTTTTCAACTTTGTTGGTTGTTCTGTTGCAGGAGTTAGGCAACTCCATTGCCTTCTTCAAGTGTTCTTAGTGAACATTCACACCGGTTAGGTTCATCTTTAGTTTTGCATCTTACACCATGCTTCTGCTCTAAGTTTGGAGAGGAACTTCTGAGTGTTGCTTTGTTTTGTAATTCGCAGAGTGATTGAAACTTTTCCAGTCAAGTTTATTTTACAACTGTTGCTGAAGCAAGAGATGGATGGCTTTGAGAAGAGGACAAATGAAATACACACATAGAAACATGCATCCCTTTGAGAATCAACAATATCAGGTACTTTCATTGGCCAAATAAAATCAAATGTGGCTGAGTCTGTAGGGAATTCAGGAAAAGAAAACTAGACAAAATAACCTTGCTTGCTTTATAAGTTTGTTGTTGAGTAATATTTTGTATACATAGTTCTCTTTGCTCTCTAAACAATCCATCCCTTTTAATGCATAATGTATAACCAACATCGATTTGTCTCTCTTCCTATTGGTCTGCAAATTACACTCAAGGGAACAAATTGACTGTGAAAAGATGGTGAAAGGTTATGTCCAACATGCTCACCTGTAAACTGAAAAAATGTTATCCAAATGTTCAGACCTAGGACATGCAAAACAAAATGCGCAAAAATCTAAGAAAGAAAGCAGGTAAAAGAGGTTGCCAGATAAATTTATTTTCTCTATTTCGTTAATCTCGGTTTAGGGTATTCTTCTTTACCTATTTTCATATCTAGGCTCTGAACTTTGTCAATAATTTTTTCAACCATTTGGTTTTTCTTAGGGGAACCCTTTCTCAGTTGACCAATGGTTATATGGGTTTTGATCCAAGAATGAGCCGGGCCGAACGATAGTTGCTAGATGCTTGCTTATAGAATGTTTCGGGGTTGTCGATCTGTTCCGTCTCAGCTTGCCTTCTTTTTTTCTCATGTTTATTGGTTGGATGTTGATATGACCAAAGCTCCTCTTCTTGTCTGATTTCTTTGCCCCAAATCTCCTCTTCTTTTACTACTTTGTTCTTGCCATGGCGGCGGCGGAAGAAGAAGACCCGAATGATGATGGAGGTCACGCAGAGAGAAGTCAGCGATGCCCTCAAGATGAGCGAAGGATCTCTCTGTTCATGGATCGCTGACGCCCAGTTAGCACCGGTTGGTTCGCAGGCCTTCTCCACGGTCTGGGTAGAAAATATGGTATGTCTTTTTTTGTTGTTGAATTTTTCCTTTTTCCTGTTGTCTATTTCCACGAAAATGGGTTTCAGAGCCTTTCTTCTGGTTCGTTTGTGGTTTAGTTACTCTAATAAGGTTTTCGTTGATTGGTATTGCTTACGAATATGGGTGTTTACTGTTTTTAGTTCCTAATTCTTCATCTTACTATTAGTTCACCACAACTGCTTTTCTTGCTCATTTAGGCAGAGTGCAGGTACCTCTCTGCTTGCCATCGGGGGCCTCTGCGAAGAAGAAGACCTGAACGATGATGGAGGTCAAGTAGGAGAGAAGTCCCGTTCACGAAGCGATGCCCTCAAGACGATCAAAGGATCTCTCGATTCATGGGTCGCCGGTGCCAGTTAGCACCAGTTGGTTCGCAGGCCTTCTCCACGATCTTGGTAGAAAATAGGGTATGTGGTTTTTTTCAATTTGTTCATTTTTTCGTGTTTTCTATTTCCACAAAAATGGGTTTCAGAGCTTCTCGGGTTCGTTTGTGGTTGAGTTACTCTAATCAGGTTTTCTTTGATTGGTATTGCTCACTTCCACGAATCTGGGTGTTTTACTGTTTTTAGTTCCTAATTTTCATTTTACTATTAGTTCCAGCTGCTTTTGTTGCTCATTTATGCTGTAGAATTATCGTTCCTCTGATGCTGAAGTTTTGTTGTGCAAGTGCCTCTCTGCTTACCATCGGAGGCCTCTACCTCAGCCAAGGTTGCTTTATTTTATGGTCGGTTGAATAGTGGAACTGGGTTGCTTGCTGTCAGAGGGAACCAGAGATTGTGCGTTGGTCGAGGAAAGTGTACTGAAGCCACGCCTACAGGCTACAACTGACCAGGTAATGTAACTGAGTTCCACTTTGCAACTGGTTCCCTCCGATAAGATTGGATGAATTTGCTCATTCCTTACACAACTTCTTCATTGGAACCTGATAGAACCAAAGTTTGCTCTCTTGCTGCATCTTTGCACATCTGCTTCTTTGGAAAGTTCACTCTCACTTACTTTTCCTTCTTGCATTGCTTTTAACAGATCACATTCGATGTATCGTACATGGGATCCAAACGTTCTCTAGAGTAATCTTGAGTTTCAACCCCATGCAGTTTGACTTTTTGCTAGCATCATTGTTGGCCCTCTGTATGTTGTTACCAACATATTAATATTCTGTTTTGTTTACTATAAACACTAATGCTAAACATGGACGAGCGCAAGTCTAGCCGACACTACAAACTCTTCTTGCTTTTCTCATTTGTTGTGTTTTCCCTGCCTGTTTGTACTTTAGGTTGTTCTTTTATTTCAGTTCCTTTCTTGACCGATTAGATCACTGTATATATGTTCTTCAACACCGCAGGTCTTTTTATCCCTGCTTATCTCAGACTTCCCAATGTTTGTTGGTGTTGCAGCTGCAGTATACTGTGTTTCTGGTTCCTTCGCAGCCTTCATGGTATCTGTGGGAAGGGATCTATAGTTACTCCACCGGTATAATGTCCTTCATGGAATAATGTGTTTCTAAATTCCCCGTTGTTTTGATTTTATTTCTCTGTGCCACTTGATGGTACAACTCTTTTCTCTTATGCTATTTACCCTAATTAATTATAAAAGTGTTTGCGGCCTCAGTTTCATCAAAGAGTGTCTAAAACAAGATACATAGGTAGGACGAAGGGGAGCAAATTTATGCTCTCTTTTGTTTGATTTGTTTTCGAGATTTTTGTTCGGTTGTTTTAAGCCATTTGGAACCAAACATCCTATCTTGCCGCGTATTAGCAACTTTAAGCATCTAGGATATCATATAGACACGAATGATCGAGATTGAAATGAGTTTTTTTTAGCAATGTTAGATGGTGTTAGCATGCTTGGATGGGGAGATTGTTAGAGGTTTCAATGATGCATTATTTTACCTGTTCTAAACTGACCTCATTCTAAATTTAGCTAGCAGTCTTTCTTTCACGAATCAGTAGTGGAAATCAAATTCGAATATAGCTTATGAGTGTTCTTTTCTCATGAGGAAGGGGACGATACAAAAGAAGAAGCCAAAGAAGAAAGAATGACAAGCCATTGAATGGCAAACAGGAGCAAGGAAACAGTGAGGATTCAATGGGGAAACTCAAATTCCACGGATTTGAGTACTCTTTAGACTGCTACAATTTCATATTTTCCTGTTTACAGATAATCTATATTATGTGTTTTTTTATAGATTTATTTAGTCTTTGGAATCTGGTTTGTGCAAAGTTGAAGTCTGAGTTGACAATGGTGTCCTTCTTTCATTTGGGAAGGATTATCTTTTGGTCTTACTTTTACAATTTTTGTTTAGTTTGTTTTGTCGATTTCACTGACTCTACATTTTATTCACAATACCCATGTTACTTTTGTGATATAGCTTGCGAGTAGAGCTCGATTTGGATATTACATTTTTGGTTAGCTTATCGTTTCATAGCAAAACATGAATGAATTATTGCACAACCACGTAACCATCTTTTCAGTGCAATTTTCTTGCAACTTACACTAGATTATTACCATCTGTGTCCAGCATTTGTTATCTAATTGGAATATATGGATGCAACTGATAAGTTTACACATAAGAACATGTAGTTAAATTTGTTGGCAAACTTACAAATCCCGCCGCGGAGCGCGGTTTCAATAGTTATTATTATTTTATCTCTGTAAAAGAACAAGTAGCCAAGTTACTATTGCATATTGTCCCGTCACAAGGGTTTTTTTTTTTGTAATTAACCAAAGTTTGTGGTGCCTTTTTTGCATTAAGGTTTTAATTAATTCTTTTATGACAATTGAATCCAAATTGAACCCAAATAAATTGACATTCGGCCTACTTTGACCCGGTTAAAGCGAGCCTAACCCGATGTTGACGAATTTTGCATCAACAATGAGTTTTTCACGCTTAAATTTATTAAATTAACCAAAACTTGAAAGAGTTCTTTACATTAAGGTTCTAATTAATTAACATATGACAATTGAATCCATATTGAACCCAAATCAATCGGTATTCGACCTACATCGACCCGGTTAAAGCAAGTTGAATCCGGTGTTGACGAATTTTGGCTCAACGAGTTTTGCAAGCTTAAGTCCATGTCCATTCCTTTCGACCTAATGTCGAACTGGTTAAAGCAAGTTGAACCCTGTGTTACCGAATTGTATTCGGCCGTATTTAACACGGGTTTGATTGGTCTTTCCTTGCAAATTTTTCGTTGTGTCGACCTTGCAAATGTTTTGGGTTTCTGTTTTTGGATTTTGTGGCGAGTTTTATCATCATTCCCTCGACCCAGTTAAAGCGAGTTGAACCCGATGTTGCGAATTTGTTTCTAACCATAGAGCCTTTTTTGTAGGTGCTAATTAATTAACTTATAACAATTGAACTCGAATTGATCCCATAATCAGACTACACTAACCATTTCCGCCACATTTTCTCCGCAGAGTCTTCACGACCATGGTTTTACTTAGGATGTGCATTTTGTTCTAATACAGCTAGGGAGTTTCCAGGTACTGCTGATTTTTGGTGTGAAGAGAATGGCCAATTGATACCTCAGGAAACCCAAAATTGGTCAGTTTAGCATCAAACAGTTTTTCTCATTACGAGTTCCAAAATCAGTTAAACCCTTAATTTCTGACACATTTTTCCAGCTACAAAATCCATTTAGCGGTGGGGGACACTACTGGTTCCGCATGCTTCATTATGCTTGAAAAAACCGCTGATTATTTGCTTGGAGTTGCTGTTGACGAACTATCAGCACGTTGCCCTCAAAAGCATGGACATTTCCCTCCAGAAATTGTTGCCATGAATGGACGTTGGTTTTCATTTGACGTTCAACTCCCGAAGCCTGGATATTTGCCTCAGACCCCTTGGAGTTTACTATCCTTTCTGTAGTCGGCCACAACCAGCTTCAACAATAGCCCAAGCAAACTGCAACGCAGACATGGATCACCCACCCAGCAGCATCATCATCCACGCCAGTGGATTCTTACCAGCATAGATTAACGGTGTCCATGAAAAAATACCCTACCTGTGAAATAAAAAGTGTCTTAAGATGTTACCGAACAAAAAACTTCTACTTCATTAGTCTGGAAACAAATGTTAACATGCAAGACTTTTGCTATCACCTATCTACCATATTGCCTCTACTCTTGTGGGTACTTGCATAACACGTGATCCTGCTTTCTAACTCTTCTGGCTCATTAATTAGCACTACTTTTATACTGCATTTTTAAGGGGGCAATGTCAACATCTCCACCACTTTCAACAAGCATTTACATAACTTTGAGTTGCCCCACCATCACCAAATGACACTCTTTTACATCACATTCAATGCAAAACAGTAATTAATCAATTTGACAGCAACCAATATGTACTGCTGCTTTAGTATGGCAACACCCGCTTTGCAATACAAAATAATATTATGTACCTAATGTTTAATTCCAGTGCAAAGTTTCTACATGTACAAATCATATGTTTTTTATTAAATCAAATGTTCTCTACTCAATCTACTCATGGGCACACAAATATGTCAATTTCCAAAGCAAACTCCACATTTTTCCAATACGAACTCCCCGCCGCAGAGCGCGGGTTTCCTTGCTAGTGGATGTAAAAGGACATCACCCAAATGCGCCTAACAAAACCTTGAAAGGCTTTTCCAAAATCACACAAGCACAACAAAATGCCGCATCTTTGAAAATTCTTCATCCTGTCACCCATGAGCAGAGGAAGAAATTATTGAAGAGATACACAGAGGTTCCTTTCTTTCTTGGTCTTCCAATTATGCTTTCTTTTCTTGCTGCTCCAACAATATCTCATTAAACATGAAACAGTTCATATTACCATGATATAATCATATCTACTACCCATCATTATCAACATGGTAGGATGTCATTTCTATATTCCTTCTCAACAGTGAAAAATAAACGCGGAGACCATGCTTCGGAAACCAAAAAGCTCCCAACTAGATAGTTCCATTCTGGAACTAATCTATTTCCCTGCTACCTTTTTTGGAACGCTCAAACAACAACAAGGAAGGAGCTTAGCACATCGGAACCAGTTTCTACAACTGAAAAGAAAGAAGACCTGCTTAAAAAATCCCTCTGCAGAGCAACCCCGCTGTCTTTCGAGCTACAGGGATGAGGTGTTTATTGCAGCAGGAAGATGGAAATCTCCTCCTGATCGAGGTAAACTCAGGCTTTTAAGAAGGCTTACCAACAAATCTCCTAGCACTAAGAGATACAGCAGCAACCACCAAGCAGCAGTTAAGAAGGAGATCAGAGGGCTGCCTCACTATGATCAAGAAAAATCCAGGCCTTTAAGAAGACGCATATCCCGGGAAAATGCATCAGAAGGTTGCATCAGCAGCCGGCCTAGTCCAGGAAAGACACGAATCCGCCC